GCACATCATACCAAACAACATAAAAGTATTCAAAATACTCTACTTTTACTTTACACTGCATATGCCTCATCAAATAAGAAAAACGGTTCCCCTGCATTTACTTTACAGATAATCAAACAGGTCCAAAATATTCTAAATACAGTACATTTACTTTACACTGAATTCTTTTGTTCAGGCAACCAAATAGCCCCTAAGATCTCACCCATTATGACAGCAAATGTAATGCTTGTAATTGATTGATGCTGTAAGTTGCAATAACGGGCATGAATGGAGCTACTGTTTATAAAGCAAAGTTGTCTTTGTGAATGGGCCGGCTTGACCCATGCCTTTGAAGCTCCACAAGTCACATCTTATGAGCACGATGAATATTATTTTAAATAAATTTAGAGTTTATTTGAGACGATTGTAATTTTTTTAATGTTGATTATAGTTTTCGTATGTAATAATTTTTTTACTATTTTTTACAATAGCTTTTATAAAAATAAAAAAAAATAAGATTTTAGAAGCGATAAAAAAGTAGTGGTCAGAAGCTGTCCCAAATAAAGTTATAAAGTTGTTATGAAAAAAATAATTTTTTTTAAAAGCTATTGTAGAAAGTAGCTTCTGAGAACAAAAAAAGTTTTAAAGCAACTAAAAATAAAATAATGGCAAAACAAAAATTTTGGTTGCTGTCTGAAAAGTAAAATAATAAGCTTAAGAACTTGTCTGCGACAGTTGTAGCATTTTGTAATGATAGTTATAGGTTTCGTTTGAGTTTGTTTTCTTACTATTTTCTACAAAAACTTTTTAGTACAATAGCTTCTATCAAAATAAATATGAAATTTAATATAAATGTTTAGAATAAATGTGCATTTTTTATTTCTCTTGTGTAATAATTAATATGTTCTTACAATTTTTTGTAGGAAAATAAAATTAATATTTTTCAGTAATTTTGGAAAAATTTTAAAATTTGGAGTCAATATTAATATCAGATCAAATAATGTTAAAATTGATTCCAAATAATATTGAAGTTTCTTTCTGTACAGCAACTTCCATCCCAAACATATCTTTAGCATGGAACACAATAATTAAATTTTAATTGTACTTTTATTAATTAAAAAAAACAATTTTTTTTTAATTTAATTGAAAATTATAAATAGTTATTTAAAATTAATAGCTCATGTTCTACAAAATGTGCATGTTTATGACCAGTTTTTTCTACGCCCAGTATTAATTATTTAAAATGAACTCATGCTCCACAAAATTTGCATGTTTGTGTCATTTTATCTACACTCACTGTTAGGAGAAATTATTTCGTGCGGAGTCTGGACATAATTCTACGTCCGGGCTGTGAGTGTACTATGAGTGTCCACAATGTGCACACTCACATGTCCTATCATAACTCTACGTCCGGACTCCATGATAAGTTCAAATAATATCATATTTTATGTGTTAATTTGTCCATAAAAATGTGTTATTTTATTTGTATTTGTGTAGGAAAATACATGAAATGAGCAAAATTTTTAATTATGATACAACAACCCCGTGGCTCCATCATTGATACTGCTGGAGCACCTGAGTATGGACATGGTGACTATTTGACAGCGCCA